CCTGGGGTCATGTGATCTTCTGCCAAGGAAATTCAAGGGAGAAGCCAGATTCACTTTACAACCATGTTACTAACTTCACAACTATAGAGCTTCACTTAACAACGGTGGCAAGAAATTCTTGACCTCTATGACCACAATTGAGCATTTCTGTTGCTAAGCGACACAATTGTTAAATAAGATTTGCCCCGTTTTATGACCTTTCTTGCCACTGTCATTAAGTGCAGTTGTTAAGTTAGTTGCTACCTACCTGAGGGCAGGACAAGAAGCAATGGGTGGAAACTAATCAAGGAGAGAAGCAGTTTAGAACTAAGGAGAAATTTCCTGACAGTTAGAACAATTAATCAATGGAACAACTTGCGTCCAGAAGTTGTGAATGCTCCAATACTTGACATTTTTTAAGAAGTTGTTGGATAACCATTTGTCTGAAGTGGTATAGGGTTTCTTGCCTAAGCAGGGGGTTGGACTAGAAGACCTCCAAGGTCCCTTCCAACTCTGTTATTCTAAATTATAGTACCATGGCTGTTACTCTAGAAGCTTGGCATGGAGTTTAAAATCGCAACCGATTGTTGAAATTGGCTTGTTAATTATAGAAAACCAATGTGAGCTAAATTGGTTTAATATTTTGGCAGGTGGAAAGATTGTCAAAGATAATTGTTTGGACATGACCCAAAGAAGTTATGCAGAAGAGGAGAACGAACGTTTCTATTAATGACAGAATCTCGTAGTGGAACAGAAGAAGAAGAAGATGGAGCATGAGAAAATACAAAGTTTGCCTCCGGAAAAAACATCAAATAATAAACAGGGATTTAAGACTTTTCTTAATCCTAGACAGAAACCATTTAAATACAGGTAATCCTCGACTTACAACAGTTCGTTTAGTGACCATTCAAAGTTACAGCATCACTGAAAAATGAGACTTATGACTGTTTATCACACTTAAGACTGTTACAGCATCCACAGGATCACATGATCACAATTCAGAGGCTTAGCAACTGACTCATATTTATAATGGTTGCTGGCAGGGGTGGGTTCTACTTATCTTTACTACTGGTTCGCAACAGGATCATGCACGCATGTGCAAATCGCTTCTGATGATGTCAGGGTCAGTGGGCGGAGCCTCCCACCAGTTTTACTACTAGTTGTAGAGAACCGGTCCGAACTGGGGGCAACCCACCACTGGTTGCTGGGTCTTGGACTCACATGATCACCTACCAAATTCACTTTACAACTGTGTTACTAAATTTTAATAACGGCACCAATTCATTTAACAACTGTGGCAAGAGGAGTCATAAAATGGGGCAAAACTCACTTAACCAATGTCTCACTTAGCAATCGAAATTTTGGGGCACAATTGTGGTTGTAAGTTGAGGACTACCTATACTTGGGAGAAAGAAAGAAAAAAAGGAAGGAAGGAAGGAAGGAAGGAAGGAAGGAAGGAAGGAAGGAAGAAGGAAGGAAGGAAGGAGATGGTGAAGAAACAAAGGTATAAAATAGATTTGGGTTCTTGGGAAGGGGTTCTTGGGAAGGAAGGAAGGAAGGAAGGAAGGAAGGAAGGAAGGAAGGAGGGAGGGAAGGAAGGAAGGAGAAGGTGGTGAAGAAACAAAGGTATAAAATAGGTTTGGGTTCTTGGGAAGGGGTTCTTGGGAAGGAAGGAAGGAAGGAAGGAAGGAAGGAAGGAAGGAAGGAAGGAAGGAAGGAAGGAGATGGTGAAGAAACAAAGGTATAAAATAGGTTTGGGTTCTTGGAAAGGAAGGAAGGAGGAAGGAAGAGAAAAGAAAGAAAGAAAGAAAAGAAAGAAAGAAAGAAAGAAAGAAAGAAAGAAAGAAAGAAAGAAAGGACAGTGGTTAGACAAGCAAACAAGAGATAAGCATTAAGCAAGAATTAAAATTAAGATAGAATCATGAAGGATTTCCAAGACCTCAGGGATCAAATTTATTAAATAAAAGTGTTTTTTTTCCTCATTGAAAGTGGGAAGCTGGACTTTGAAATGGGGAGCAAGAGAGAGGCTTTTGAAATAAAGATCTGAAGATGGTTACATCTGTGAGATCATCTGTGAGCTGCAAAAAGAACTATCCGATTTTTCTTGGACCAAGCAAAAATTGACTGCTGGTTTTGATCAGTAATCAGATCACCTATTGTAGTCATGTGATCGGATTGAGCTATTGGGCTATTAAAAAAAACAAACAAGCCTACGCTTGGTAAGGTTAAGGGAAGTAGAACAAAGACAATAGACAGAGTGGATGGGGCTGATGAAATAATAAAGCTATCAGAAGAACTTGGAGGCAGATTCTGATGACATGCATTGATCTACGACATTGCTTCACACACCTTGGCAAACTCTAAGATGGATGGATTGCAGCTCAGGCTGGCTGGAGAATTCCGGGAGTTGAAGTCCACCCATCTTACAGTTGCCAAGGTTGGAATCGAATCGAATCGAATAGAACAGAATAGAATAACAGAGTTGGAAGGTTAGTTTCCATCCATTGCTTCTTGTCCTTCCCTCAGGTGCTTTGGAGAATAGCTTGACTCCCTCTTCTTTGTGGCAACCCCTGAGATATTGGAACACAGCTATCACGACTCCCCTAATCCTTCCTTTCATTAAACTAGACATACCCAGTCCCTGCAACTGTTCTTCATACGTTTTAGCCTCCAGTCCCCTAATCATCTTTGTTGCTCTTCTCTGCACTCTTCCTAGAGTCTCAACATCTTTTTTACATCGTGGTGGCCAAAACTGAATGCAGTATTCCAAGTGTGGCCTTACCAAGGCATTATAAAGTAGTATTAACACTTCACATCAGGAGTGAAATGCTCCCAGTTTGGACCGGATCACCCGATCCGGTAGTGATGGAGGCGGGTGGTTCGGAGAACCGGTAGCAAAAATCCCTGCCCTTCCCCCCTGCCCAGCTGAGCCGTACAATCATCAGAGGCTTTTTTTTTTTTACTTTTAAAAGCATTTTTTCTATAACCTCTTTGGCCCAAAAAATGCTTTTAAAAGTAAAAAAAAAAAAGCCTCTGATGATCACATGGATCAGCTGGGATCATCAAAGGCTTTTAAAAGAAAAAAACCCTTTTTTTCTTTTAAATGCCTCTGATAATCCAAGCTGAGTTGCCTGATCATCAGAGGCATTTAAAAGAAAAAAAGTCTCTGCCGATCAGGCAACTCAGCTGGGATCGTCAGAGCCTTTTGAAAGCATTTTTTTTACAACCTCTTCGCCCACCCAGTCACATTACCCCCCACCACCACCAAGCCACACCCACAGAACTGGTGGTAACAAATTTTAGATTTCACCATTGCTTCACATGATCTTGATTCTATTCCTCTGTTTATGCAACCTAGAACTGCGTTGGCTTTTTTGGCAGCTGCTACACACTGCTAGTTCATATTTAAATGGTTGTCTGCTAGGACTCCAAGTTCCCTCTCACAGTTACTACTATTAAGCAAGGTACCACATACACTGTACCTGTGCATTTTGTTTTTCTTGCCTAAATGTAGAACCTTGTTTTTTTCACCATTGAATTTCATTTTGTTAGATATAACTCCCAATGTTCAAGTCTGTCAAGATCCTTCTGTATCTTAAGCTTGTCTCTTAAGTGTTGGAACACACTCTTAGACAGAAGATTCACAGATGAAGTAAAAACCCATCTGAGGAGGCTTTGAATGATCAGTTATGACCCTCTGGTCCAGGAGAGGATCATGCACACCGAGCATTATTCTCTTCCTCCTTGTAAGAAGTTCCCTATCCACAAGCAAGAGAAAGGGAGACCAAGAAGTGGGGGACAAAAGAGAAATTCAGATGTAAGAGCCTAATGGATACCTATGAAAGGAGAAAAAGGTGAGGAGTTTGCTAAAAGGAGAACTTAAATGACTTCAGTCTGGCTTCACTCTTTGCCCTATCTATCACCCTTCCGCATACTGAATTACAACTGTCTGGACTTCCTGGTATTTTTATTACTTAACCCCTGGCGTCTCAGAAGTAATTAATGGATTCAGGTCATCCGGCAACTCCGGCAAGATAGATTTCATAAAAAAAAAAAATCCCTCCCCACCCACCTTAGTAGGAACTATTCTGACTTTTTTCCAAAGAGCATCAAGTCCAGGTCAAACTTTCTCTGGGGTTTAGAGTTTCCATCTGAAGTTTTAGACACAAAGCAACAGAACTCCCAGGATGTTTCTCTCTATGTACTTTGTGTTTGTCTGTGTATATTCAGATAAATACACAATATGTACACATGGAGAAAGACAACACCAGTAAAAAAGAGAGGGAGAGAAAAATCAGTACAAGCAGTCCTCTACTTATGACCACAAATGAGTCGAACATTTCTCACCTAGAAAAAAATCATGTTGCTAAGCGAGAAAGTGCCTCATTTTATGACTTTTCCCGCCACATTGCTTAAAGGAATCACTGCACTTGATAACAATTAGTAACACCATTGTTAAGTGAATCTGACTTCCCCATTGACTTCGCTCATCAGAAGGTCACAAAAGGGGATCACATGACTCTGGGACTTTGCAACCGTCATAAGTATGAAACAGTCAGTCAAGCCTCCGAATTTAAATCACATAGGGGAATCAGCAATGGTCATAAGTGTGAAAAAGGGTGACAAGTCACTTTTTTCAGTGCCATTATGACTTCGAATGATCACTAAACGAACTGTTGTAAGTCGAGAACTACCTGCATGTCAAGAAAAGAAAATTTGTCTTTGCTAACTTTAAATGAACAAGGATTTATTTTGCTTTTCCAGCATAATAAGGCAGTCCAGTAACGATAAGTCCCAATATAGTACCTGTGATTGGACAGTTATGAAACAGTTTTATTTCCTTCTGTGGCATCTGGGAAAAACCACATTTCATTTGCTAGGTTAATGCACGGGCTGGAAATCAAAACTAAACATAACCAGCCAGTTTCATCTGCCTATCCTGCCCCCTTTTAATATCTTGCGCTTGGCTATAATTAACTTTGCAAGTTAGCATCAAAGCTGACGGCCAGCATACCAGAGAGGTCATGTCACAGCTACAGATACCACGAAGGCCCAAGAAGGACCCCCGTCTCAGCAGACACAGGTGAGAGATTTGGGCTATGGATCCCCCAGGGAGTAGCTCTGTCAACGTGGGAGGGTTGAGGGCGATGGGCTTAAGGGTCATGTGTCATGTGTGCATTTGGCAACTCTTCTGTGGGATTTGCATGTCCTTCCTGTTTCTCATTGCAGTATCAGACAGACACAATCATAATGACAGCTCAGACATGATTGTTCTCTAAGAACCAATGGAAAATGATAAGCCTTGTGAATATAAAGGCACATCCCGAGACAAGGCTTTGTTCGTAGGCTACCTGAGATCACACATCACGCTAAGACTGAGACAAAGTGTGACTCACGACGTTGGGGCTCAAGACGTTGCACGAATCCCTAGCACTGTGGTTTGCCAATAGCTTCTTGCGGTTAGCGTGTGATTCAAAGTTAATTTGACGTGACTTACAAAACGAGACAGGGCTGAACGTTTCGCGGGGATCTGATCCCTCACTCAGAACAAAATGGAATCGTATTCATGAACTGGGAGGAAACACAGAGAAAACAATTATTGCCAGAAATTAAGAGGGAACGCCTAATTGACGATTGTTCAATAGGGGAGTATTCATCCCTGATTCAGATCATAGAACCGCAACCACAACATATCCTTTTCCAATTAAAACACACACACAGAGCCATGTTCGTTTTCATTTCACATTGGTTATGTAGGGGTTTTTTTTGGGGGGGGGGGTAACAAAGGGAGGAATAGAATAGAATAGAATAGAATAGAATAGAATAGAATAGAACAGAACAGAACAGAACAGAACAGAACAGAACAGAACAGAATAATTTATTGGTCAAGTGTGATTGGACACACAAGGAATTTGTCTTAGGTTATATCAGGGGTGGGCTCTACTTACCTTTACTACTGGTTCGCAGCGGGGCTGTGTGCATGCGCTCTTTTGCACATGCGCAGAAGCGCTTTGATGACGTCAGGGTTGGTGGGCGGAGCCTCCCGCCGGTTTTACTACTGGTTCCATAGAACCGGTGCGAACCGGGGGCAACCCACCACTGGTGTATACATAATAAAATACATTCATCAAAAATAAAAAGATACAACACTTAGTGATAGTCAAGGTTACTAATAAGCTATCAAACTGTACTAGGAAACAAATAAAAACAATATAAATTGAAAGATACAAGCATCATGGTTAGAGTAATAAGTGGGAAGAGATGGATACTAGTCAGGAAGAGAAGAATAATAGTAATACAGTCTTAGTAAATTATTTGACAGTATTGTGGGAATTAGTTGTTAAGCAGAGTGATGGAAGAGAACATATCAAAATATTCTGGCAAATTGCGTGTATGTAAATTTTTCAAGAATCAGTTCTAGGAGCCAGTATATATTATTTATCATTTTCTAAAAAGTGTGATCTTCATCTTACACACAACTACTTTCTGTGCTGGGTTTGTAATGTCTTGAGGGCAGTACAGGTAGTCCTAGACTTATGTCCATTTGTTTAGTGACAATTTGAAATTACAACGGCACTGAAAAAAATGACTGTTTTTCTCACTTACGATCACTGGAGCATCCCTATGTCACGTGATCAAAATTCAGATGCTTGGCAACTGGCATGTTATTTATGACGGTTGCAGTGTCCCAGGGTCATATGATAACTTTTTATGACTTTCGGACAAGCAGAATCAGCAGGGAAGCCAGTGGTGGGTTGCTCCTGGTTCGCACCGGTTCGCAAGAACCGGTAGTAAAAATTTGTAGTAGTTCCAAGAACCGGTAATAACATTACTGGTCATGCCCCCGAACCGGTCCCCGGCCCTGTCGCCGCTCGCTTACCCCGCCCACCTCATCAGAGGCTTTTTTTTTTTTTAGTTTTAAAAGCATTTTTTCTACAACCTCTTTGGCTGAAAAAATGCTTTTAAAAGTAAAAAAAAAAGCCTCTGATGATCCCGCGGCTCAGCTGGGAACATCAGAGGCTTTTCAAAGCATTGTTTTCTGCAACCTCTTCAGCCAAAAAGGTGGTAAAAAAAATGCTTTGAAAAGCCTCTGACGATCCCAGCTGAGTTGCCTGATCGACAAAGGCTTTTCAAAGCATTTTTTTCTGCAACCTCTTAAGGTTGTAGAAAAAAATGCTTTTAAAAGTTAAAAAAAAAAAAAAAGTTGGCCACGCCCACCCAGTCACATTACCCCCCACCAAGCCATGCCCACAAAGTAAGCCACGCCCAGAGAACCGGCAGTAAAAAAATTTAGAACCCACCCTTGAGGGAAGCCAGATTCACTTAACATCTGTGGCAAGAAAGGTCATAAAATGAGGAAAAATTCATTTAACAACTGTCTTGCTTAACAACAGAAACTTTGGGCTCAGTTGTGACCATAACTCAAGGACTTAGATGTATTTAGTCATTCTATCAGCTTCCTTTACTGTCTTCCATGTTTACTGTCTTTTTATTTGTTTTATTATATAAAGTACAAAAAAATAAAAATAAAAATAGGAAATTAAGGAGCAGAGAAAAGATACAAGGAGAACAGGGGGAAAAATTGAAAAAAGGGCATTGACTTCCAACTCTTCTTAGCACAGTACAAGATAAAAACACTCCAACCTTAACTTTTTGCTTTTACACCGTAATATATAAGTAGCCATTTCTATAACAACAAATATTTCTGATCAACAAAACCAAAGTAAAAGTTTTGGGGTTTTTTCCATCACAAGCACAAAATCCAGAAGTGATATCCAAATGGGAATATATTTTCCTCTTTGAATAAAGTAATCGATTTAAACATCCGTGCTTTATCTTCCTTGCTATGAAAATAGTATGTATTTCTATTTTCACCTAATAATCTTTGTGAACTGTCACCATTTTCATTAACAAGATTCATTGTATTCTTTCAAATTATTTGACTTTAATGAAGAAAAACATTGTTTTTATTTACCCTTTTTTAAAGTGCTAAACTTTTTTTTAAAAAAACACTTTTTTAAAAAAGTCAAAGCTTTCTAATGCATCTTTTTCTTTGACTTCTTAATATTACAAACTTTAAACATCAGTATTACATTTAGATCCTTTTATAGTTTCCCATGCTTTCACTGGTATTTTTCTCACTGGATCATTAGAAGCAATCACAGTTAGTGAATCAACCAAAAGAAGAGAAGACAATATGAAAAGTTTCTGATTCTCCGAAATCTACTAATTTATTTATTTATTTATTTATTAATAAATTAATAGTTTATTAAAATTAATAGTTGGGACGGGGGGGGTTAAAATTTTTTAGCAAGAGGTTCTCTACCCCTTGCTGAGGGAGCGTGGCCCAGGTTGCTGGGTGGGTGTGGCCATGGTGGGTGTGGCCTAGTTGGCCTCCTGCACCATGGTGCAGGTGCATTTTTGCCCTCCCTGGGCTCCGGAGGCTTTCCTCAAGCCTCTGGGAGAGCGAAAAGGGCCACTCCAGGCTCTGGAGGTACCCCAAACTTCTGGGAGGCCCTTTTTTCGCCGACCCTGAGCCTTCACACGTGCCCTGCACTTACCTGCATCCAAAACGGGCTGTGTGGGGACTCCGGGGAGGGGAGGGGAGGGGCAGAATGGGCGGGGCCAGCCAGGAGTGGGATTTGGGGGTTCTCTGAATTGCACAGAATCTTAGCTAGAGGTTCTCCCAAACCCCTCTGAACCCCCAGCAGCCCACCCCTGGATGTTATTAGAGTGTAAGGATAGAGTAGGGTTTTTGACATTGCTTCTCTGATGAGGAGTGCTAAGAATCATTTTAGTTAGGTTGGTTATGTAGTACTAATACAGGGATCACCCATCTGTGAATTTGGATTATTTTCCCCCTCACAACTATCTTCTTTTCAGAAAAGGATGACCAGTGTGGACAGACCTCCAGAGATGATGGAAACTCCAACAGAACAACAGTTGGAATTGCAGAGTGAGGGCCACGCAGAAGGATTTTTCACTGCAGCTCTCCAGCTGAGGAAACAGGACCTCCTTGTGGATATGACGGTGACTTTGGATCAAAAGGACTACAAAGTCCACAGCATCCTTCTGGCTGCAGTCAGTTCTGTCTTTCTGCAGCGTTTGGAATGTGGTGTGCAAGAAGGGATGAATCTGGATGGCGTGACCACATCATCTGGCTGGGAGGCCATTTTGAATTTTGCCTACACAGGAGACTTAGAGCCCACCCCAATCATGGCTGGAGACATCCTAGACGCAGCTGAGGCCCTGGGTGTCCCTCGTGTGGCTGAAATATGCAAGGCAGTGTTGATAGGGACAGAGAATGAGGACAGACTGAGTCCAGTAGAAGAGAAATGGAAAACTCTACAGAGGCTAGAAGAGATGTACAATGAAGGCATTGGTTGGGACACGGAACTTCAAGCTGAAGGAGATACATTTCGAGGTATTGGGCATGTCTAGTTTAATGAAAAGAAGGACTGGGGTGACAGGATAGCAGTGTTCCAAAATCTAAGGGGCTACCATAAAGAAGAAGGGGATATCAACCTATCTTCTAAAATGCTTGAAGGCAGAACAAGAAGCAATGGATGAGAACTAATCAAGGAGAGAAACAACTAGAATTAAGGAGAAAGTTCCTGACAGTTAGAACAATTAATCAATGGAATGACTTGCCTCCAAAAGTTGTGAATGCTCCAACACTGGAAGTTTTTAAGAAGATGTTGGATAACCATTTGTCTGAAGTGGTATAGGGTTTCCTGCTTGAGCAGGGGGTTGGACTAGAAGACCTTCAAGGTCTCTTTCAACTCTGTTATTCTGAGGTGAATAAGGTAGAGCTGATAGGGAAGCAAAAAATTAAGAGTGCAAGGCATCAGTGGGTTGGGAAGAATTGGAAAACTCTAGATTTGGGGTAGGTGGGCACTATGATCTGTGACCAAGATACAGCCTCTCAATTTCTGACCTTATCTTCTCTACTTTCAGTTCACCGCTTGGCCTTGGCTTGTGGCTGTGAATTCTTCCATGGTATGTTTACGAGCGGCATGAAGGAAACTCAACAGGCTAAGATTCCTCTTTGCACCCAATTCACCGTAGCTGACCTGGGACTGATCATCTCCTTTGCTTACTCAGGAGTGCTTAGAGGTGGGTGGGATTATATATTTGAAGCTGCACAAGCTGCTCTTCAATATCAAGTCTCTGGGATCTTGGACCTCTGTCTGGATCTGTTCCGCTACAAGCTCACTCCAGAAACCTGTTTGGATGTTCTCTCTTTTGCCCGTGCTTATGGCCTACATGATCTTGAAAACACTACAGAGAAGTTTATATTGAACAGCTTTGTTCATGTCACAAAAACGCCAAAGTTCCTAGATCTTCCCATAAACCAGCTGGTGGACTTCCTTAGTTCTGATTCCCTCTACATCCTCAATGAACTAGAAGCTTTCCAAGGAGCCGTCCGTTGGTTGACTGCTGACTGGATTGGGCGGATTAACTGTGCTGAGAAAGTATTGCACTGTATTAGATTTCCACTGATGTCCAACCGAGAGCTCAAACAGGTTAGGAAAGAAGAGATGATGGCTGATCCTGGTCACCTCTACAACCTCATGGTTCAATCCTTAGCTAGCGTTCCACCAGGTCCTTCCAAGATGGAGCAACTTCCTTGCCGGGTGAGATATCCAGAAAAGGTCATTGTGATTAGCGGAGGAGATACTCTGACAAAAAATATGGCTACTCGGAGCCCATGCCAGGATTTCTGGTTCACCCACCGCTTCCTCAATGGCATCGGCTTGGTCAAACAAGTGGAGTGGCGTCGTCTTGGGTACCTCCCAGAGAAACCGCGATTCCGGCATGCCGTAGTGGTCAAGGACAATAAGATGTACCTCTTTGGGGGAAAGCATTATTATGGCGTCAGGGATACCATGTGTTCAGTGTTCAGGTGAGTTGGAAGACTTGCTGCTTGAAGACGAGAATTGGGAAGGAAGGAGAGAATAGATACGGTCCCATTCCGTGAAGATACTTTTGAGTAAGAGTGGGAAGATGTCAGTTTAATGAAACATCCAATGGTCGTGAGTATGAGGGAGGGAAATAAATGAATGCTGGAAACAACCAGCATTCCTAGTTAAGGTATCTGAGGGCAGTTGAGAAGTTTTTATATGGTTCTCTCCAGTGATTGGGGATACTGGTTGAGAGCTCATCATAGGCCATTGTGTCCCCAAAGTTCATGATGAAGCCAATGAACTAACAACATGTCTATGGAGATTCTCAGTCATTGAAATCATGGTTATCTCAAAAGTGCTTTTACAGAAGGCAACCGGACTTTCCTTGAAGATGTTTTGCTTCTCATCCAAGAAGCTTCAAGAACTGAAGAAGCTTCTTGGATGAGAAGCAAAATGTCTTCAAGGAAAAACAAGTTCAGTTTGGGTGAACTAGCAACAATTTATATCCATCCATCCATCCATCCATCCATCCATCCATCCATCCATCTATCCATGAGGAATTGGGATCCTTATCATAAAAAGTTTAGCCATTTGTCAACTTCTCTTTTTTCTCCACATACAGTTCAGAAAAAATAGAGTAAAATCCACAGTGCTCAGAATACATAGAACAGGGATGAGATTTATTCCTAACACTTAATCTAAAGTACTTCAGAAGTTGTTCTCTAGACTTCTGCCTGTGTATTCCCAAGGCCAGAAGAAGGAATTGGTCCCCTGACCTGATTTTGTTCTACGTGATTTGGTTAAATAACTTTCCCAACAACACTGGATATCTATCCAATGCTACTTTAGGATATGTGACCGTATCTTTGAAACAACTGGCTTTCTGTGTTTCCATAACACATCTCTCCTTTATATTATCCAGATAAATACATTGTGGAAATCAAAACATAGCCTAATAAATCCCAGAAGATTTTAAGAAGGTCCAGGAGGGATTGTGGCTTTTCAGTCCTCTTGCAAACACTAATTAGCCAACTTTCTACATATGGACTCTGCAGTTCCTCTGTAGGAATCAGAATGTCAGTAGTTAGACTTTCTTAACCAGAAGAAACCTATGTGGCACGCGGATTGGCCAGGAATAAGGACCAATGGTCCATTCATAACCAACTGGGCGACAAGAGTTAACAAAATAACTGTTGGAAGGGACCTTGAAAAGCTTCTAGTCTAACTCCCTGCTCAAGCAGGAAACACTATACCAGTGATGGCTAATCTTTTTGCTGTCGCGTGCGAAAAGCTGGGGGAATGCGGGGGGTTGCGTGCGTGCCCGCACCCATAATTCAATGTGCCCTGCCCCCATGCATGACCCCCTGTGCTCCCCCACTTTTGGCACGTAATGACATGGTGGTCCCAGTAGGCCCATTTTTCGCCCTCCCCAGGTTCCAGAGGCTTTTTTGGAGCCTCGGGAGGGCAAAAACGGCCTTCCCCAACCTCCAGAAGTCCCCCAGAGGCCTGTTTCCCAACTTCCAGTGGCCCAGAAGGCCCAAAAATCAGGTGGCATGCGCGCACATGCATGCTGGAGCTTACCTAGGGCAACGCTTGCGTGCCCACAGATATGGCTCCGTGTGCCACCTATGGCACCTGTGCCATAGGTTCACCATCATGGCCCTATACCATTTCAGACAAATGGTTGTCCAATATCTTCTTTAAAAACTCCAGTGTTGGAGCACTCACAACTTCTGGAGTTAAGTTGTTCCACTAATTAATTGTTCTAATTATTCTAACTTTTTCCTTAGTTCTAGGTTGGTTCTCTCCTTGATTAGTTTTCATCCATCCATTGCTTCTTGTCTTGCCTTCAGGCACTTTGGAGAATAGGTTGACCTCCTTCTCTTCTTTCTGGCAGTCCCTTAGATATTGGAAGATTGCTATGATGTCACCCCTAGTCCTTCTTTTCATTAAACTAGATATCCTCAATTCCAGCAACTGTTCTTCATATGTTTTAGGCTCCAGTCCACTAATCATCTTTTGTTGCTCTTCTCTGCACTCTTTCTAGAGTTGCCACATCTTTTTTTTACATTGTGGCCTTATTTCCACAAAGAATCCTTATTCCTCCTTTTTACAGGTTTGATCCTCTTTGTGGGAGTTGGGAGCGACTAGCTGACATGACCAATTGCCGGAGCTATTTCCCTGCAGTTTTCCTGCATGGTTTATTCTACGCTCTTGGGGGCAGCTCCAATGAGGTTTATTGCCTGGATTCGGTGGAGTGCTATGAACCTCAGAGCAACACATGGAGGTAGGAGCTTGTGGAGACTTCAGCAGAGGTGTTAGGGTTCAGGTCTGGAGACCATGCGTTGCAAAGTATACAGGTAGTCCTCAATTTACAACCTTTTGTTAGTAACCGTTCTGTCAAGCTCCAGAGAATTCAGGAGATCCAGGCAGTTCAAATAGGTATAAAGATTTATTGTAACCTTAAGCTCTGTACAAGAATCTCAACTACTGACAGTTAAAGCAATTTGGAGGTTAAAAAAAAGAATTCTTGGTGGGATGGACTCAGGAGTGGGATGCTGGAGGTTCGCAGGGGTTCGGGAGAACCTCTAGCTAAGATTCTGTGCAGTTCAGAGAACCCCCAAATCCCACTCCTGGATGGCCCCACCCACTCCATCCCTCCCCTTCCAGGAGTTCCCACGAGGCCTGTTTTGGATGCAGGTAAGTGCAGGGCACACACGAAGGATCATCATGGAGGGCAAAAAGCGGGCCTACTGGAAGTTCAGGAAGACCAGAAACAGTCCTGTTTCTGGCCTCCAGAGTGCCTCTGGAGCCTGGGGAGGCCATTTTCACCCTCCCGGAGGCTCGAGGAAAGCTTCCGGACCCAGGGGAGGGCAAAAGCGCCCCCCCCACCATGGTGCAGGAGGCTGACTAGGCCATGCCCACCATGGTCACACCCACCCAGCAACCAGGCAGAGAACCCCTTGCTAAAATTTTTGAAGCTCATCCCTGGCTGGACTTAGATCTCTTATGGGCACGAAGGGATTCCTACCTGATGATGTGCTATACATGACCCCTCCCTCAGGCTCCTGGTCATCTCCTACCCATTCAAAGGTACAATAGCACTGGAAAAAGTGACTTATGATCCTTTTTCACACTTACAATGGTTGTGCCATCTCCATGGTCACATGACCAAAATTTGGACATTTGGCAATTGGCTCATATTTATAATGGTTACAGTAATCATGTGATTACCTTTGGTAACCTTCTGACAAGCAATTCAAAGGAGGAATTCAGATTCATTTTGTACCCATGTTACTAACTTAACAACATAGTGATTCACTTCATAGCCATGACAGGGAAGGTTGTAAAATGGGGCAATGCTCACTTAACAATTGTTTTGCTTAGCAATGGGAGTTTTGAGCTCGATTGTGGTCATAAGTCGAGGACTCCTTATAAATCTGAAGATTCTTCTGATGATTTCAGAAGAGAACCTAAATATTTGTTTTTCATAAATAATTTGTTGGATTTTGACAGGCTAGCTAAACATGACACTCTATGCTCCAGCAAAGCAGTTATTTTCACATCCCTAATTTTCCTTTAGAGGGACACGATGGCTTAGTAGTTAAAGATGCTGGAAAGCTGACAGCCTGGGTTTGAGACCCGAGCGCTGTGCAACAGGGCGAGTTCCTGTTGCTTGCTCCAGCTTGCCTACCTAGCATTTGAAAGCAGACAAAAGTAAGTAGATTAATAGGTACCACTTTGATAGGAAGGTAACAGTGTTCTACATGTGGCCACATGACCACAGAAAATATCTTCAGACAATGCAGGCTCTCTCAGCTAAGAAACAGAGATGAGCACCACACCCTTCAATTGGACCCAACTTGAATTAATTTTCCTTTATTTATTCCCACCCTTGTTTTATTTCAGGCCTTGCGCACCCTTGCCTACCCCAGTCTGTGGCCATGCAGCTTGTGTCCTGGATGGATGGATCTATATTACGGGAGGCAGTGACGGCTCATGCCGCTGCCAATCCTCTATGATTCGGTATTGTCCAGATGGCCCACCTCTCCTTCTGGCCCCCATGCAGGAAGAGCGTGCCGGGCACATCATGGAGGTGCTAGATGGGCGGATCTACGTGGCTGGTGGTCTACGTTGGCGGGACGGGCACGGGGGCTATGCTGACCAACTGGCCTGCGAGGTGTACAGTCCAGATCAGGACGTATGGGTCACCTTGCATCCTCTTCCCCAAGCTCATGTCATCGCTGCCTCTGTTGTCCTGAACGGAGAGCTGTATGTCCTGGGAGGGTACAGCCATAACACCTATCGAGATACGCACCTCATTCACTGCTACAACCCTTCTCACGACCGTTGGGTCAACCTGGGGACAATGCCCCAGGCTTACGCAGATCTAAAGGCCTGCATCTTAGAAGTGCCCTCCTCTTACAGACAAAGGGAACCATCAATCCCGGATGCTCCTGACTTGGAAGTCCCTCCTGATGCTTCGCTGGATATGCCCTACCAAAATTCTCCATCACGCTGCTGATAGGCTGAAGTGTAGCCTATTATTGCAGGTCCTGGATTTGCATGGAGAGACCCAAGTTCAAGTGTCTTCCTTAGTTGATTTTGGGTCACAGGGTTGTTTTATGGTGGGGATTAATCAAAGAGGGATGCGGCCTGTTTCACGTATGCTTTGAGTTCTTGGCGAAAAGGCAATATAAATGCTAATGTTAACAAAAATATGGGTAGTCCTTGACTTATAACCATTCATCCATTCAAAGTTACAACCACATTAAGTATTTTTTGTCAAGGCATACCCAATTATGGGATGGTACATACTGCTTCTGTTTAATTTGTTAATTAAATTAAATAATTATTAATAATTAATATTATTAATAGTATTAGTTAGGTTAATACATCTACCTAATACACAAGAATGCCGGCTTCAAATCCCAGAAGGGTATGGCTAGCTCAGGAGAGTTAAATAGCTTGAAATAGATCTGTACTAATCTCCCTTTATTTCTTTGGCGGTAAAACATAAATTCATTACAATATTGAAAAATGTGACGTAGTTCTGGTCCTTGCACTTACAACCAATGCGGCATCCTCATGGTCACACAATCAATATTTGGGTTTTTAGCAAGTGACATATACTTATGATGGTTATAACATCCCAGGCAGGGATGAAATTCAGCAGGTTCTGACAGGTTCTGGAGAACCGGTAGCGTAAATTTTGAGTAGTTCGGAGAACTGGCAAATACTACCTCTGGCTGGCCCCAGATTGGGGTGGGAATGGATATTTTGCAATATCCTTCCCCCAGGAGTGGGGAGGGAATGGGGATTTTGCAGTACCCTTCCCCTGGAGTTGGGTGGGAATGGAGATTTTGCAGTATCCTTCCCCTGCCACCCCTACCAAGCCACGCCTACAGAACCGGTAGTAAAAAAAAATGTGGATTTCACCACTGATCCCAGGGTCAAGTGATCATCATTTGTGACCTTCCCAACTGGCTTTTGATAAGCAAAGTCAATGGGGGAAGCCGGATTTGCTTAAGCAGTGCATGTGATTCACTTAGCTGTGACAAAAAAAAAATAATAAGTTGTAAAATTAGCTATGACTCACTTCATAATCACCTCATTTAGCAATGGAAATCCTGGTTCCAATTGTGGTTCTAAGTCAAGGGTTGCCTGTAATAATATTATCTTTATTTCTCACTAATAACAATAATAACTTTATTTCCCACTTGGATCGCCACTTAATTGAAATTAACACTGAAAAACATGTTTATCTATTTGGAAAAGCAAAGTGACTGGAGAAAAAGCTCTCATTCCCACATGCAGATATGATCTGTTTACAGCTGGATTTTTGTGCAGGTGAACACAGTTGGACTGTATGAACACAACTCAAGTGAAAACCATGGAAAAGGCAGAAAGATATGAATTTATTGGTTGAGGTTCTAGATCACTTAAGGAGGGCCACACTTCTAAGACGAGGGCCCCACAAATTCTTTGACAAGTAGTGGTTGAGTAAGTGGTTCAGGCCAGGATGAAAAGCAAAACTAATTTTTATTTCATGTATGTTGTGATTAAAATTAAATCTAATTAATATTATTCTCCTGTCCTGCTTTTCATCCCCAACTTTCACCAGACTGAGGTAAAGCTACACCAGTTTAATATTTACCTGCTCTATGCTTGATGAAGGCACCCAATCTCTACACATGAGGCAGAGAATGCTGCAGTGAATCCCTCCTCACTAACTTCTTAAGAAACTGACTTCTATTTGCCCCATTGTAAAATATTGCTTGGGTGACTTTCTCTGCATTTGAAAAAATTTGAAAAAAAGCTAACCAGGGTCAAACTTACATTAATAGGCACTTTTATTGCCATAAACAAGAATTAATCTAAGTAACCCCAGAGCCTTAAACTATATTCTGGGCTCTGCTACAACAATAAGGGTTAAGAATTGTCTGAACTGCAGATATAATCCAGTATTTCTCAACCTTTAAGATCTGTGGACTTCAACTCCCAGAATTCCCCAGCCAGCAAACTAGCTGGGGAGTCTTGGGAATAGAAGTCCGTTCTTCTTAAAAGTTGCCAAAGTTGAGAAATACAGGTACGACTACAAAACTGTTGGTTCTTGATCCTTGGTTGTTGATTAAAAGCGAAAGTGTAAAAATCAAGTTGGAGAATTTGAAACAAAGGATAATAGGCATATGGCGTCCACCGTTCCACCAATATTGCTGAACTATAAAGTTATAACAAAGTTTAGTAGCCTCAATCCGCATAGCTCAAATTCACAGAGCAGAGAGCATGCTATACCCTGACATTCTCCAAAATAATATTTAAAAAAAAAAATCCATAAAGTAACTCACGCCAAACTACTTCTATATGATGTCAAGCAAATTACATGACTGTAAGATATTAGGGACCGAACTTGATTCAAACTTCTAATTTAGCAAGATTTCATAGGCAGAAAGAAACTGCCAATTTATGCTTTAACATAACCAGTTTTTCCAAAGATCCCTTCCCTTTGAACCAGTCTTGGAGAAAAAAAAAACATTTCTGATTTTCTTGCTTCAAGTTCTTCAAGAATTATCTTCCACAATGTCCTACCTGTCAATGACTACTTCAGCTTCAACCAGAACAATACACAAGCAAATAATAGTTACAAACTCAAGGTAAACCGCTCCAAACTCAATTGCAGAAAACATGACTTTAGCAACAGAGTGGTCAATGCCTGGAATGCACTACCTGACTCTGTGGTTTCTTCCCCAAACCCCCAAAACTTTAATCTTAGACTGTCTACTGTTGACCTCACCCCAATCCTAAGAGGTCTTTAAGGGGCATGCATAAGTGCACCAGCGTGCCTACCATCCCTGTCCTAATATTCCTTTTTACTTACTCTTTTCATGTATTCAAATTATGTTTATACTTTTACCTGTTTTCTTATATATGCTTGACTATCTATCTATCTATCTATCTATCTATCTATCTATCTATCTATCTCCAAGGGAATTTTCTCACCTGAGAAGTGATTTTTTTAAAAAAACTTCCCTCTGAAAACGAAACTATGCCATGTGTCTAAATATATTTTAAAAAAAAAACAGAGGGAGAAAAACAGGAACATGAATGGAAAAAGCAGAACATTTAAAATACAACCAGAAAAGTCCATCTAATTTATTACCTGATTGAGGAGGATCTGATGCTTGCGAATGGGTGCAAAAATCTCTACAGAGAATGTTGTGTTCGGGAACAGGAAGGATCGGGGATTCTTGATTAAATGTTTGCAGGCTGGCTTGTCTTTGTAATTTCTGAGCCCAGTTACTTTCACAATGAGTTTTTTTGATTCCACTAAAAAGCCAGCTAATCTTTTAGCAGTGATTGATAGTTGCTCTGCCCAATCCACCAGTATCCTCCCTAGTCACCCACTTCCACACATCTAACCAGAGAATGATTCCAGGGGTGTTTCCCTTCTTAACCACCAGTTTTAAGTGGTCAAGCTCTTATGCCCACAGGATTAAACAAGACATGTGTATTTCAGAAGAATAGAGTATTTCTAGCGTATTTAGACTTCCCAGCATGGGGCCAATTGAGCAGACACTGTAGAGGGTGCTACTGAGTCATATTCAAATGGAGAAGAGAGAGTTGTAGAGGAAGCTTTTTTTTAGGTAAGGTAGAAATTCCATTGGTAAAGCTCAACTCTTAGGCTAACCTCTCCATGCAAGGGAGAGCTTAGATGGTTGAGCGATGTGTGAAAAATATGTATAATACAAATCTTGTTTACTACAGTGGTGGCCAAAATTGTGGAAACCTTTTGGGAAAAGTATATTTTTGAGATTTGATGGCTAATAACACCACCTTTTTTTGGAGTTTGAAGATAATCATATTCCACTGATGGAATGGCCTGGGAATAGCCCAGACCTTAACCCAATTAAAAATCTATGGAGCCGACTAAAGAAAGTTGTTAGTCAGAAGCAACCCAGCAATAAAACCCAGTTAATAGAACCAATCATTCAATCTTGGTTTTACATTATAACAGCTGCAGAACTAAAAGACTTGGTTCACTCCATGGGAAGACGTTGTAAGGCCGTAATTCAAGCTAAAGGTTTCCCAACTAAGTATTAGCTGACATGGTAATAATTTTTGTATATCTTGTTTTTTTCTATGATGATAATTTTTGTATATCTCATTTTTTCTACATGTTTCACTTTTCTTTTTTATACTATAACTGCTATTCTAATAGCAAATCCTTCATAAAAGTTATTGCATTACATTCTTGATTAAATTATCTTTCCATTGATATATAATTTTATGGTATTACTCCAAAAAAAAAGGTGGTGTTATTAGCTAGTTTTAGAAAATACACTTTTCCCAAAAGGTTTCCACAATTTTAGCCACTATTGTATAAAAGAAAAAAAAATGTTCATAATCACGAATTACTCCGGTGCCTAGGAAGTTTGATTATATGATGGTTAATTTCACATTTAAATGAAGCTGCTTTGATGATATGCAGTATTAGTCAAGGTCTAAGAGAAAGAAAAGAGGATACCTTGGATTCAAAAGTTTAAGAGATAAAGGAGATACAAAAAAAGCAATCAAAGGATAGTAGGAAGCATATACAGCTACCTGCTATTATCTAAAATTGATGCTGTGAACACATGATTGGCTCCTGTATTTGTAGGACCAGGAGGAAGTCTTTAGATTTTGACATCTTGATAGAAAAGCAGGATCTAAATCTAACTGAAAACAAACAAACAAACAAACAAACAAACAAATGTGGGACTTGTTAAGGAGAGGAATTTCCTCCCAATGCTAAGTCAATGGGAAAAATAAATTGCCTTGGGAATGTAGGCCTTACTGCCCATATCATCACTTGAGACTTTCAAGAAGAGATTGGACTCCTTGAGCAGGGATTTGGATGACCTATAAGATCCCTTCCAACTCTGTTAATCTGTTAAATCTCTGCCTTTTCCCCAGTCCCTGCTCTCCCTAGCAATCAAAGTCTCACAGATGAGATCCATCATCCATAATAAAGAAACCATCAGTCAAGTAATATGCTAGATATTAGCACTTGGTAGAAGAAACTATGAAATCTTTGGAAAAGATAGAGATGCCATGATATATATCCACACCTACAAAGATCAGAATAATGGGCTGTGACATTTTATGGAAGTGAAAGTTGGACTTTGAAGAAACAAGGAATTTTATTTATTTATTTAGCATATGGCTAAATACATCAATGTATTTATTGATGTATTGGTGTTTCTGTAGCTTGGTGTTGGACAAGACTTCTGAGAATGGGATGCGCAACCAAGAAAACAAAGAAATGGATGACCAAACAAATCAATTCAGAGTCTTCACTCAAGGCACAAATGATCAGATTCAAATTATCATATTCTGGATATATTAATGCAAAGATTTAGCCTTCTGGAGAAGGCTCTTGCACCAGAAGGGAAAAAACAGAAGAGGATATGCTGTACAGGAGGTCCTCGACTTAACGTCCACAACTGAGCCCAAAATTTCTAAGGTTGTTAAGTGAGTTGTGTGTCACTTTACAACCTTTTTTGCCCATTGTTAAGCAAAATTAGGTGAATCATGAGGTCATTAAACAAATCTAGTTCCTCACATTAACTTGGCTTGTCAGATGCTGGCTGGGAAGATCACAAATGATGATTACATGACTCCAGGACAGTGCAACTGTCAAAAATACAGGGCGGATTTTGGTCATGTGACCTGGGGGATGTTCCAGTGGTTTGAAGTGTCTGAATTTTGATCACGTGACTGAGGGACACGGTATGAGAAATGGTCATGTCACGTCTTTCAGCCCTGTTGCACTTCGAATGGTCACTAAACAAATGGTTGTAAGTTGAGGACTCCCTGTACAGGAAGTCCCTGACTTACAACTGTTCATTTAGTGACAGTTCAAAGTTACAGTGTCACTGGAAAAAGTAACATATGACCGTTTTTCATACTTATGACCAGCATTCCCATGGTCATGTGATCAATGTTCAAATGCTTAGATCGTATTTATGATGGTTGCAATATCCTGGGGTTGTGTGATCACCTTTTGTGACCTTCTGACAAGCAAAGTCACTGAGAAACCCAGTTAACAATCGGGTTACCAATTTACCAGGTAGGACTACCTGTATTGAGGTGGGTGGATTTAATTATCGCAGTGATGAGTGTACCATTGGAAAACCCTGAAGGATCTTTAGTCTTTAATCAATCAATTAATAGTTGTCCTTGGATGGTGTTGAAAAAAGGAGAAAAATACTACAGGTAAGTCCTCAACTTACAACAGTTCATTTAAAGTAACAACAGCACTGAAAAAAGCGATTTATAACCCTTTTTCACACTTATGACCATTGCAGAATCCCCCATGTGATTTGGATGCTTGACAACTGACTCACATTTATGACGGTTGCAGTGTCTCGGGGGGGGTGTCATGTGATCCTCTTTTGTGACCTTCTGAAAAAGAAAGTCAAAGGGGAAGCCCGATTCGCTTAACAACCATGTTACTAATTTAAGGCCTGCATTGATACACCTAACAAATGTGGTGAGAAAAGTCACAAAATGGGACAGAACTCACGTAACAAACTTGTCACT